CTTTTTAAAAAATGCGTTTCTAAAGTGCATAAACTTTTGGGATTGACTGTATAGCCAATACATCCTTAAAAGTCGGAGCGTTAATGGTTAAAGTTCATCTGACCGCAGCCAAAGCTATGAAGTACAATTAATCAAAAATTAGTAATAGAAAATTAGTAATTAGAATCTATCTGAGTACAGAATCGCACAGCCTTTCATCTGCAGCCGCGTGAACTATAAACAAAGTAACAAAATATGTAACAGTGCATAATCCCGCCTATTATTCGGAAGTGTTTACGCTAAACCTCCGCCCGACAGTTAAAATAGTGAAATTAATTCCCCTCGAGTGTACGTTACGGTAATTGTTTTGCGTTTAAACAACATGTTGTGTGCTTGGAAGTTACGAATACACGACCCGCATTCATCTTTCTTCCTTTTACTCGTCTCGGATTGCAGGGCGGATCGATAGAAAATCGCAAAAAATCGTATCTCGCCCGGGTGGAAACTGATCCGCAGCGATTCTATTCACCGATAATCTATCCTGGTGTAACGGGCTTCGATTGTGAAACGTGCAGCGGCGTTCAACGTTGTTCCGTGTATCGACGAAACGAAACAAACGGACAATCGAATAACGAGTTTGACGAAAAACACTACCGCCGGCGCTACGGTCAATTGCGATTTCTCTTCTTTTTGTTTATTTTTATTATTTCTTTTTTCGTGCTGAATTTTTTTTGCATCCAGGAGGAAAGAACGCTGGGCCGCGTTCATGGAGCTAACGCGAGCCATTGTTGAGTTCCGAGCGAGTTAGCGGCAAACTGTGCTGACATTTTGACGGTGTTTACAGATTTATTTACACTTTAAATATGGAAAAAGATTGTGCAAAAATACCTGAAGAGAAATAAAGATATAAAAACGACATTTGGAATTTAAAACCTTCGACATGTTCGGAGAAAGTTTATATTATTATTATAATATTAATTGTTTCGTCGAAACGTTTCATATTTGTCGAGGGTGTGCGGAGTAATTTTTTGTTCATACACATAAATCAACAGTACTGTTGTGAAAACTTTAACGCGAACAAGCGTTGGGTGCAGAACGTCGTTAACTTGTAAAGAGTGCAAGGGGATACGAGCTGTGTAACAAGAACGAGGTTCAAAGACGTTAGTGTAGAGTGCATAATGCAAGACAGCAACACGCTGCTTTCGTCATAATGTGCTTACTACCGCAAATGTGCCACCCGACGTGTAAGATTTTCAAAGCATTAACATCCGTTCGTTTCCTAGTTTATAATAGTTCCACGACGTGGAAAAAAGATATAACGTATTGTATTGTATTTTTATTTCTGTGATTTTTGGCAACCGATGTTGTTTAATATGAAAATGTGAAAGACAATTAACAATTAAATTTGATTTGATAATGTATAATTAATATTTAGTACTAGATGGAAATTTGAAAAGGTGCTCGAGTTTTATTTTAAAAAAATCTTCTGACTGCATGATATTTAAACGCAATGCCATTTACGTTGTTTCATCGTTTTTGTCACAGCATCACTTTAATGGCTGTTTCATGGACCACGTGCGTCGCTAGACGACAGCAGATTTTTCATAGAACGCCAATTTTTGTTCGGGAGATTCAAAATTTGTTTCATAGGACACCAATTTTTGTTTGTCGAGAAGAAATTCCGAGTATAGAATATTTTTCAATTGAAGTTCATTTGATCCATTAAAAAAATAAAAACGCTTTTTTCGATTTTTCAATTGAACGATAAATATTTATTTCCATGTTGAGTTCGCGAATTATTGTTGAAAATTAATCTGTTCATACTGGTTTGTTTTCTCGAAAATATCAAGGAAACGCGAGGATCTCCTAATTTTCTCGAGTAAGCTCAGATACCAAAAAGTGCGGCACGTGACGCCAAGTAATTTCAGATAAAATCTACACCTTCCCAGTTTCCGCGCTTCGTTTATCGGATGCTCATCTAAACTTGTTTTCTTTTATGTATTTGCAACCGAAATTGTATTTCTACACGAGCTTGTTACACATTATTTCAAAATTGCCTGTACTCCGACGAATGGTACGAACATTATCCAAAACTAATATAAAACGCCTGAACATTTAAAGGAGTACTCGTCCACGCGCACATAAAAATACTCTATTCTACTTTTATACGCTTTAAAATAAATGTTATTTCAGCTCGAAAATGTATAAAAACCGATTGACTGAAATTGTACAGAGAAAGAAATAATATAATTTTTTTTAATTCGGACGAAGTAGAAAAATGGTATAACTAAAAAATACTTTGAGGGCACGAAAGAGATATTGACCAATTAAATAAGTAAGTTAAAATCCTGTTCTTTGAGACCTTTCAGCTTCGTTAATTTATGTATGCATGAATAAAAGATGCTTGCTCAATTATATAAATTAAAAGATGTACATATACGATATCCTACGATAATTCATAATTTAAAATGACTATCTTTTAAACCGATTGAATTTACCTTTTCGTTACTGTTTTAAATATCT